CACAAAAAATCTTAAGTTCATTTAGTGCTTACGATATGGTTAGGCAATTTTTGAAATCTAGTCTGCAATTTCTGGGCCGAATGGTACGTACGGCATGATCGATACGTGACATGATCTGCAATTTCTGGCCCAAAACATCACGTGATATTTAGCATCAGCCAAATTCAGCTTCAGTCGTCACATGTATTTTTAAATAATAAAACCTCAAAAGACAGTCAAGTATGCACCAATCAGATTTCTTCAAACGATCGACATAAAATTGTTACTCGATTTTGATTAGTTAACGGCCGCAAATCTGCAAATTTTGGCCCAAATTACATAATTGTTTATTTATTAACTTTTGATTTTTTCGTTACAAAATAGAAATTTTTGAAAAATAATAGTAAAATTGACCCAGAAACAATTTTTACTTAATAGGCTTCGTGGTTTGTATTTTGAGTTAGGCTATATATTTTAAGGCCACTATCTTCTATATAATTTATTAGTAGAATTCTGGGTAATTCCAGTCAAATTTTTTGATCATTGCTCTTAGCCAATCAAAAATCAAGAATCTGCTGTGAAATTTTGTTGTAGCAGCTAGAGTCATTAAGAAAGCCAGATAGGTATAATGTGAAAATCACATTTTTTAAAAAACTGTTGATACGTAATTTGAAATTTCGACTATTAAATGAAACCACATTCTGCACTCTAATATAAAAAATTCTAATTTCTAAACCTATATTTACTATACATATTGAAATTAGTTTAATTCATCGAAGAGATCTGATTAGTGCATATTTGTTGATATCTCAAGCTAATGAAGTTAAAAATCCCTGTAATAATATTATATACTTTTTTTCGAAAATGTCTTAGCAATTACCTATCTAATTTGATCAAAGTTTGGAAAAACTTAACTGCTAACTTTGTTTTAATAATCGCCTAACTTTTTTTTAACTTCGAACAATAATTTCTTAACAGTAAAATCAGTAAAGTTTTTTATATTAATTCCATGAATTCATAGAATAAAAATAAAAAATATTTTCATTGATTCTGAATATGCAATGCACGATTCTTACTATAGTAGCCCGCTGAATTTATAAGCATACCGCACTTAGATTTGATTAACCAACTTCGATGATCACGTTTAAGAGCAAAAATTTATTTTTTTAAAAAAATTTAATATATTAGCCCTAAAATTTCTGTCCCAACCCAACTCAAAATTTCGGGTCTGGCTCATAACCCGACCCGTTCGGAGCACTACTTTCGGATAAACGAGCTAAATGAGGTACAGAACCTAGAGTTAGGTCGGCGTCGAGTGGAACATCTGGAATATGTTTGCTGGATATAGAATTCGGTAAGGATATGGAATCATGATATCTAATAAATTCAAATAATTCCCATATTAAATATTGCTCTACTTTCTGATTATAGGGGAATTTTGTCCCCTTGATCTCTGATAAATTAACCTGTTTCTCTTCTATCTTCTGGGGCTCCAAATGAACCAAGGAGGATTCTTTTGGAGTCGATTCTTTGACTACCTGTTCTGGGAGAGCATGTTTAGTGTTAGTCATGGAGAGGTCTGCTTCATGGTGAAACGATTCAGAAGTAGTTGAAGATGAGTCCTGGGAAAGTATATACGATTGGCTAAGCTTTTTTTTCCGCTTCCTCTACCTAATCTCATTACTAACCTTTTTCTTATGCACCTCATCCAAGAAAGCATCTGTTTCCTTGTCTTCCGAGGATGTCAGATGACATTGGTCCATAACAGGTATATTAATAGTTGATGCGGTTACCTCTGGTACCCCCTTGTATCATTTTTTCAAGTAATAAAGTATCCACCAATGGTTGTTGCGTTACTATGGGTGCAACCAAATTGAAGTTAGATGAACTTTTGTTAGAAGAATCTAAACTCGGCATTCTCAGATTTGAGTTTAGTGGTAACTATCTTATTTTTCTCTAGTTCCTCGATACTTGAACTCGGCAATCTCAGCATCACATCCTTTAATCTCTTCTACAGCCTGTCTTAGAACCTCAGCAATCCTTCTGTTAAGCTCAGCTTTCTCAGACTCATTCTCATCTAACTTGCTTTAAGATCAGCATTCTCCTTCCTAAGCTCTTCAATCTTAGCTTCAAGTTCGCTAATATGTTGTTTTAATAATTCAAGCTCTGATAACATGATCTATATATATATAACTCATACACTGTATATAATTATTTAAAATAAAAAAATCACGTGTGCATGAACAATTATTTACGCCCGATCACTTTTGCCAAGAAAAAAATTTTTTATTAATATATACAAAAGATAAATACAGGACCTAGCCCACGATACATGACACCTATACAATTGTCTGCGGACTAATGTCTGCATGAAAAATTTCACGCTTTATTTTTCTCTCAAGTTCGAAAAAAAGATTTATAGTTAACTTATTCATCTAGAAAACTGTTATTATTTATTGTTAACTAAATATATCTGGCTTTGAGCAAGTATTGTGAGAAGGCAGTGATAAATTCCTGAAATACACATGCAAAAGTAAGCTGATTGTGTATGTGAAATTGATTAGGCAAAATAGAAATTAGAAGATACTCGGGGGCCAGGATATCAGCGAATTAATAGTTATTTTACCATCTTTATTTAGAGCAAGCATACTAATTATTTTATAATATCATTATCAAAATTAAGTCAGGATGATATCATATATCGACGAATAAATTTGCAAAATAAACATTTACTACGGCAAACAAGTGACATTGCAAACTCGGTTTACATTCTTAGTAATAAATTCGAACAATCTGTATAACATTCAATTTATACTAGAGTTGCAGGTGAAACTAATTTTCAATGGTGCACCAGGTGAAACTGGTACACCAATGGTAAAACTAGAGTTATAGATGAAGCTAATCTTCAACGGTGCACCGATGGTGTACTAGGTGAAACTGGTGAAATTAATTAGTTTCACCTGCAACTCTAATTTATATTGAAGAAATCCGAATTTTATGATTCTATATATTGGTTTTTATCAAAAGTGAATAATCTAGTTGATTTACGTTTCTTTTCTAATAGAGTGCCTGCAGGGATTTCACCTCGGACCCAGTAGTGTAATGTGCCCAACATGAAATTACATATATATTCATGATGGTAAATTTTACTTTCATAATAAATGTTATCATCTAAATAGTAGAACATCCATCTCAATCCATCCGTGAATACGCCATTAATAGGTTTTCTATGTTACAAGTAAAAAAAAAAAAAAACGGTAGAAGTTTGATGAAAAATATTCAATAAAGGATTAAGATCATACCTTTCTCTTATTTATAGTGCCTTCATTTGCCCAATAAGTTCGCCAGTATCTTGAGCAAACGGTTCATTTTTCTTTGCTTCAACAGCACAAAACACACAGTTATCCGGTAAACTATGCCCGGCTATAAGTACATCTAAAGTAGTTAAGAGTAGTTAGAAGAAATTGAGAGCAGAGTATTTAACTCGCTAATTAGCAACTTACTATTGCTACATTCCACTCTTTCAGCAGAAATATAATCAACTAAACCTATTAAAGTCAAATTGCTTTCAACATTTTGGTGTGTAATATAATACTCTGGGTATATTGCTAATTTGTCATCTTCAATGTTATAAGTTTTCGGATCATATGTATGGTCAATGCTTCTAATAAGTATGTATCAACTATAGTTCTTCTTGCACTTTTAAGCTAAAAAAAATGTAAAATACAGTTAAAGTATATTGGAAATAAGATTCTGAACAAATCGATATAAACTTACACTTAGATTCCAACATCGGAATACTCTTTCTATTACATCTTTAAAAAGTTTTGAAGGCTTCAATGTTATATCATCCTTGAAAATTAAATCACCATCCTCAACTGCAAGTAGATGATGAATATCTTCAACTTCAATACTTGAAAAAGATTTAACCTATGTACAAATAAATAAAATATTTATTATATTGACACTTTACAACTGGGAATCTCTATATTTACAACTTCATTTGTTCGAAATGCTGAAATTAATTCTGTTACGATGTTATTGTTTTTTCCTGCTAATGTTAACTTTTGCGCAATTTGTAAGACAGGCTCAAAATTAAATATTTGCCTAACTATCTTTTCTTTGCATTGTGTTGAAAGCAATTTTTCAAGTTGCTTAATCTTTTGCACATTAGAAGTTTGCTCCGTCCTATATCGTACTCCAAATGGGATACCATGAGAAATCTGGGCTGTCTTATAGAGAAATTTAAATAAAGCATTTTTAATGGCGTGAAAAAGTATAAACATTTTAAAGAAGTTTTTTATAAAAGGATTATTGATGATCATATGAGTCTTTGTTATGAAATCATATGTCCCATAACATGATTTTCATGGCAAAGACCCCATATTTTACTTCTAGACATCAGGTTACTGTCACGCCGCGTAATTAACCAATAAAAATTCGAACTATATAACATGACGCATAATGTGCTAAAAACAACAAATTTGAACAAGTGCCCGGTGCTTGTCCTATACAGACAGCATAATTATTAAATTTTATAATTTCTATAATTTTTATTTTTCAACATTATACCTGACAACTATTATTCCCATGCCCGACAACCACCCTTTCTCTCTTTTCCAACACCACCTACTTCCCCATTTGGATATTAAATCCACCTTTTTTAATATTCGATAAATTCATTGAATATTCAAATACTTCTAGTGATTTGACATATTATAATTTACATTTGATTTATTTATTTTTTTCATTTTAAACTAAATACCGGATCAATGGAAAAGCATTTAGCAGATTGCGCTTTGACTAAAATTTATAATCAATATTTTGTATATAAATTTTCAGAAAATCAAAGTTATAAGGATCATAAATCAGCATAAATAATAGATACATAGATTATTTCAAAAATTTTGGCATTCATTGCTTTCGAATACTTTGATTATCAAATTATTTTATACTTTTCAGCTAAATTAACTTAATGAGTGGCAATTATTTTTTGTCATATTTTAGACTATGCTTACAGACTAATTTAATATAAATATAAAGAAATAACTTATTTTAAATACATCCACTAATACTACTAAATCAGTGAAATAAGAAGCACTATTTATTTTTCGCAACAGTGGGAATAAGAGGTAAATTCCCAGTTATATGAGGGTCCAAAGGACCGCATATAGCCTTGCAGTGGAAAATAAGGGTATAATTCTTCATTTTGAATGTGGATCATATAAATGATTCTTTTTTTTTTTCTCACAAAAAAATTTTTTTTTTTTTAAATTAATTTACAGCTGTTTTCATAAATTCTGAGACACCTAAAAATTTTCTCATTTTCTGGAATCTTTTCGGTTTTATCTGATAAATTACCTGGCTCTCTGGAAACTACATCGCTATTTTTGAACCTTCAGTCTGGAGAGTTAGGTAATTTACCGAAAGATTCCAGGAAACGAGAAAATTTTTAGGTGTCCCGAAATTTATAAAAACAGCTGTAAGTAAAGTTTTTTCTAATTACGCTACTTTCATAATTCCTGAAACACCTAATAAAAATTGACCAAGTGATTTTTTGGCCGATTATCCATATAATAATAAAAATAATAAAAGCTATTTTTGTATCATAATGATAATTTTACGATCTCTATAACAATAATATTAACTTTTTTAAATTTTCGTTCAAATGCTATCCAACATGTTTGGTGTGCTTAGCTTGTACGAAAATTTATGGAAAAGACTGCTCTTGTCAACCAATAAACCTTAATAAGAAACGTAAAAAAGAACCCAAATATAAATTAGGCTTTTATAACAAATATATCACATGAACAGGTGCCACTGTTAAAAAAGTCAAATATGAATATGAATTTGCCGACTGGTTTAAAAATGAATCTTAGATTAGAATTCCAAGCGACCAAGATATTGTTAATATCTGTTGAGAATGCATGAATAATTATGATAAACGAAATCAAAGTAAAAAATTTTATATATCCATATTACCTTAATAGTGAATATGGTTTTCCTGAAAGCGACAGAAGGTTTTCAACACATCTATATTTTTGAAAGTGTTTTTAGAACCCGGCTCACAGAAGATATGCTAACACTTAAGTGTTTGACAATTTTTTGAAAAGATTGACCTAAATTTTTCAAAGATTTTCTAGCGAAGTTGCTTCAAAAGTATCATATTTTACATACAACCAAGAATTTATTACATTTTTAATTAATTTAAAAATTTTATTTGTTTTTTTTTATTTATTCTATTCTATTTTTTTGTACCAATATTAAATAGTTATTGCATGCGAAGCATGCAATAACTGTAGTATTTTATGGACGATCCTGATTGGTCAGTGATCTCAGCTCGTACAGCTGGGTCACCATACAATTAGGAAGAGAACATAAAATACGTAAAGTATCATGTGCTTAAAATTTACTGGCTCTTTCGCTTGCTAGAAAAGTGTGCAAGTATATGATCTGCTGCGAAGCGGCAGATCATGTACTTGCACACTTTTCTAGCAAGCGAAAGGGCCAGTAGATTTTAAGCACATGATACGACAGTTATTGCTGCGTAGCATGCAATAACAGATTTATTTTTTTTTTACGATGATCAGTGATTCAAAAATTAATTAATACATAATTGTAACAATGTTATAAATAGATTTTTACCTGATAATCTTTTTTTACTGCTTTTTATACTTTTGCTATGCCCTAAGAGTATATATTTTAAAATTTGAGGCCTGTGCCTCCTTAATGACAAACCTGAAGTGTGTGCCCTCAGGTAACATATATTATATTCAATAGTGTTATATATTCAGCCTTTTTAAAAACTTTTAATGATTCTTGTAATTAGTACCTGTAACGAAGATAAAAGTCTATTAGTACCCGCCAAATAAAGATCCAAGTCTACTAATACGCACCTGCCAACGCTTATCCAAGTTCATAGTACCTGCCAATGCTGATCCAAGTCCATAGTATCTGCCAACGCTGATCCAAGTCCATAATACTTGCCAACACTGCTTTAACCCATAGCAAGTTTTTCAGATAGTAGGTTATAAAGTATTTAAAGTGAAGTTTTTACTTATTATTTAATTTAAATTAATTTTAATGGTATGTTAGGAAAAAAGAAAACTATATGCTAAAGGCTGTGGTGATTACTTACCTACCAATACAGAAATTGATGAGATAATCGAGTCTTGCATTTCTAAAAATACTCGTAAGGCTACTAAAAAAAGGATTAAAGCCTTGAATCGGTGGCGAAATAATGTTAGATATTGTTATAGTATTGAAACGATCACTAATAAAGACCAGCTTGAAAAAGAAATAACAGAATTTTTTTGTGGTATGCAAAAAATTTAAGATGAGAGCGATTATAATCCTTCATCATTAGTTAATACATATAATTGTTTAAGTAATTATATTTACAAACATCCGGGTAGTGAGAAATTCATAATTAACAATAAAAATGAATTCCCTTTATTGTGGGAAGTTCTTAATGGTAAAATGAAGGTTCTGAAGCAATTCAGAAAGACTACCAAACATCACGATCCATTGTCACCTGATGAATTAAGGACAATATTTAATCATGAGGCTCTGTCGATTAATATGGCTAAAGGTCTCCAAAATCGAGTCTTTATATGGTGTTGTCTTCTTTTCGCTCCACGTGGTGGTGAACATAGTCAAATGAAGATTACACAAGTCACTTTTCTTGACAATGGAGGACTTCGGTTTACAAAATTTTCTCAAAAAAATGATCCTGGTGGTATCGAAGGAAATTTTGATTCACTTATTATACCAGTACCAGCAGATCTGGAAGGATATTTGGGGCCTGTTTATGATATTAAGCTTTATTTAAGCAAAAGACCCACAAATTGTGCATGTCAATTCCTTCATCTTAAAATTAATAAAAAT